TATGAATAGTATCTTTGTTGGAATAAGAATCTTCCAGCATCTAAATTGATTATTGGTCTGTTTTGATACCATCAGTGTGATGCGTGGTAAGCCTTTAAAAAGTCAATCGTCCTAGATTTCTGCATTTTCAAACCAGCAAAGCTATGTAGCATTTGCAATAATGCGGAATAGTCTTTTTTGATGAAGGTTCTTGATTAAATCTGAAGACTACTCCATGAACTACGGTTTCTTAAAACGAATTAAATCAGCTGATGATGTGGTCTCTGGCACATTTCAATGACATGCTAGACAAAATGAAGGCATTACAGGAACCTACAGTGTAATATCATGATCTGCAAACTTCTAGTGGTGGATTCAGCATGTGCAATCACGCTCAGCAGGAGAAAGGTACTTTTCAGTGGCTTGAAATTTATGAACATGACTCTGCTCAACAATGACTCAAGAAAGGTTCGGTAATCTGACAGTTCTAAACAGCCACAAAGAGAGAACAGCCAAATTTGCTCTCCCCCACCCCAACTCAATGTAGGTGGTCACCAGCCCGCGCACATTAAAAACTGCTTCCCAGGCTCTCTTAGGGGTTTTAACTCTTAAAAATGCTAGTTTCTAATAATATTTTACAATGGAAAAACCCAGCAAGAAAAACCCCCAGAGCACAATCAAGGATGGGCCTCCATGATGAACATAATTTCCCCTGTGTAACACTTCTTCCCAGAGGCAGTGAGTTTATGGCACACTGTGTTATCAGCAGAATCGTGCAACCTAGTGATGTACTGAACCATTTAGTTTTTCAATACATAAAGTTAGTTGCAAAATAATAATAATTTATTAATGCAGTGATAACCCAGTACTCTATGATCTACATACACCCACTTAATTGGACACCCATATATAACAGGCAGTTTTGTTTGTCCTGAGGAAAAGCATACATTTTTTCTTTAAAATTAACCGGCTTAGTACGCACAGTAGTTAATGTGGACAACAACCACTTTTCTGTGTTTCAAGTCAAAAATTTCTATATATTCTTAATCCAGCTTTAGAGACACTGGTTACCCAGGCACTTTCTATTTTTCTTGTTACAATGATGTGCCAATTGTACACATTGTACCAAGTTCACGGGTTAATAAGATTTTATTACCAAAACATCTGCAGCCAAATAGCATGACACATTTGACTTTGATACATCTTTCTTTCTTCCCCTGTTTGTAGTCCTTTGATAAATTTTCTGCCTCCTGCTCAACAAGTTTCACGTCCTTGGCTTTTTGCTACAGTCATTGTTCCTACCCTTCTTCCTCCTTGTTCCTTTATGCTATATATAAAATAAATCACGTGTCTGTCACTTTTTTCCAGAGAGCTAACTTAACATGGACACCCAGATAATATAGACATCATAACATGTCTGTATTAACCTTTCCACTGTATATATTTTCTTGTCTAGCCAAAGCTTCAAAGCTGGTCTCAGTAGAGCATCCAAAAGATGCACACCTGGGTTTGAATAATAAATAAATTAAAAAAAAACGTCACATACAACAATTTCATAAAGTTATCTAAAAAAGTTATGGGAATACAAGGGGATATCATTGACAATAGTTGGATGAGGTGAAATCTCTGAATTTTTATTAGCGTTGCAATTTATAACTTGCAATAATGATCTGCAGTCAATCGATAGGGAAAGCATAGGCAGACACAGCCTTTTCAAAAAAACATGAGCTACAAAGAATGTGACAGTCTTAAATGTCAGCACTGAAAATTATTAAATTGATATACCAAATCAAGAGCGAGCGATCCCCTTATTTATCTATTTGTATTGAAAATGAGTAAATTAACTTTTCTGACAAAGAGAACTTAACATTAGATCTAAAATCCTCAGCTCAGATACGTAACAGTAAAGTAACAAATAAATTTTCAATAATAAAGGACAGCAGTCCGTTTAAGATGGTAAAAAAAAAAACACATGCATATGACAACGAGCTGGCTGCTTTAGAACCGAAACTTAGCTGAACAGAAAACTGTACCCACTCTGATTCGCTGAGCCTGAAGAGCTATAAAGCAAAACTTTATCTACACTTGGATAAATGAGCACTCGAGAGTGGCTAGAAGGCAGGTGAAATTGGTGCGGACTCTCGATCGTCTTGCCTGTGTATTATTATTATAGCTAGTACCTATACAAATACACCTACCAGTAGTCCGAATCTCCGTCGGCACAAACTGCATAAAATACGACTTGGTGAAGTGTGTTTTTTTCCTTCTCTGAGGCTAGCTGCCCTTAGTATTTGACTTTCTCATATTCAGTCGGTGCTGGTTGTACAGAGTCATCGTAATCTATGATTTCCTCCTTCACAATTCCAGAATCGGGCGAAGACGAGCGAAGCTTTGACTGGAATCGCTCGCTGTTTTCTCCCGGTTCAGGTTTGTTTTCTTGGCGCGTTCAGAAAATGACGTCACAATCAGAGAACAACAGCTTTGTCACTGGAACATAAATTTGTAATGGCGGACGCGAAAAACCTACATTTTCAAGCTCAATATTTTCACTTAGAGGGCGCCAAAGTTCACTTCAATGACCGAAACAGGTACAGCCACTTCTGATAAACTGAAAAGAAAGCGTTTTTGTAACAAACTTGACATTAAATTTTGATCGTAGTAGCACTTTAAAGATCAACAGTCCAAGTTATGTCTATGTTAGTGTGGCCATCCGATCTCCTTGGGAGATGCTGGTTTGATTCTGCAAGATGCACACATTCCTCCACTTCATAGACATTTGTCTGCTTGTTCTTAATAAGCTTTGAAGATCTATAAGCAACAATGCCATTTACATTGTAGCCATAGGTAAAGGCCGTCATGTTTCTTGTACCCCCACACATTTGTCGTTGTGATGAAAAAAAAGATTCAACAATATCTTGATTTAGTCTCTTTGGAATTATGTACAAACTTCCATACTCAGCTTTGAACTCATCAGTGTTAATGTAGGCAACAAGCTCTTTAAGGCCATCTATGGATACCTGAAGGTATGTATGAATATGAAGTGACCATTAGTTTTTGGAACTTGTTACAACCATTTTGTAATCACTGGTGATACTTACAATTTGATTGGTCCTCTGCAGTGTGATTTATTCACTAATAAAGCTATTCTATTTTCATTATATAAACAGCTAGGGAAATGCCAGGTGAGCTTTGATGCAATTTAAACATGATATCTTGACACCTAAAAACAACACATCATTTTGAAATGTGAAAATGTGACCATTTCTATAGTTAATTAGTTAGTGGGTAATGTTAGTCTTACCTCAAGATCAAACATTGTTTGCCAAGTAATAAAATGGTCTGAAACATCTGCTCTTCTCTGAAATATCTGGCTCAGTTGTTGTTTCCAGGTTTTAAAATAATTCAGTACTTGATTTAATTTTGCAATTCGGGGATCTGTTATTAATTGAAGAGGCATGCTGTCACTGAATACATCCCAGAGTGTGGCACACATACATATGAATTCTTGTGTTTCGTATGTTTCATTGTTCTCATGTGCAGCCATATCTTGCTGAACTTTCCTTGATAAGGTCTGCACAGCAAGCTTAACCCTCATCTTACTTAAATTATCCAGATGAACATGTGCACTTCTTAAATCGGTAGCATATAATCTTCTTCTTCTGTCCCTCTGATACACGGAGTAAATATGCTCCCATAATATGTATTTGCCATTTCTTTGCAAAACCCGGGTGAAACGGGGATTTTGAATTTTAAAACCACTACTGTAAATATTGTTTCTTAGTGTTTTCAGAAGATGCGGAGGATCAGAGATAAAAAAATAATGGTTTTTTCGAAAAGGGGTTATAGCACTTGCTCTTAGAAGGATTAGTTCCATTCATGTTCATGAATGCCCTGTTCTCTGGGGCTCCATCGCAACATGCAAGCATTATGGTGAATTGGAAACCATGTAACATACTCACTCCCTGCCAAAAAATTTTGTTTAGTTTTTGGGAACTAACCCCTCTTGTTAGAAAAAATGCACATGGAAATTCAAACTTTCCGAACAGGCTCTTGAAGTAAAACTGAAGAACATGTGTTGCCAGTTTATTTTGAGGGTTACAATAAGTTTCCTTTAGTTGACCAACTACAGGTAGGTCAGTTTCATCATCATCCAAATCAACAAATCCTACCAGTTCAAATGTTGATGGATCAAAGACAAGACGCTCTTTAATTTTCACTTCATCGAAAAAGAGGCCTCCAAGCTGGCCTCTCTTTCCAATTTTTGTTTTGTCAAATTTCTCCTTCATTTCCCACAATGTTGAAGTCTGCCACCCAGAGCGAGGTGATGAAAAGTTCTTGTAGTCAGAAAGTAAGCGGCCACTTGGAAACTTTAAAAAGCCTGAGTCTCTTAGATCTTCATATGCTGCATGAGATTTTGAATACATTCTCAGACACCACTTTATAATAAGGGGGTGCCATCTCATTTGCCGTTTTGGAACAGTCAAAGCCTTAGCCTGATCACATAACAACACACCAAAAAATTGATCACTTGAATAGCCTGTATGATCCCTCAAGTGTGTCTCCAGAAGAGCTTTCTTTCCAAACGTTTTATAGCATTTGTCCCAATGACATTTATAGATCCGGTTAATTGGTGCAATATTTTCATCTACCTGTTCTATATGGGCTCTCACGTGAAGGTATAGTTGGTCTGCTTCAACCCAACCTGTTGCATCATCCTTTGGTTCTGAGCATTCCTTCCATTTACACTTTGAAATCTGTTTGCCCCTTCTGCTTTTTAAGGCTTCATTTAGTTTTTCAAACATCGCCCTTAAGTTACAATCAGTATCTCCCCCTACCTCCACCATTTTTTCTCTGCACTTTTCAAGTTGTTTGATTTTTTCCTGTAGACTCCTCATCTCAATCGTTCTCTCTCGAAGCAACTGGAGCACCTCTTCTTTACTAAGATAGTCAAAACGTGTGAATTTGGAGTTTTCATTATTTTGAGATTGATGACTATGTGAATTAAGCCTTGACTTAAGAGTTCATAAGTAGTGCTTACTGTGTTCACAAGCTGCACATATGTCACTTGAGTGTAAAGCCTCGTCATAGGGGATGAAAACAAGACAGCTTGTTGACCGTATGATTTTTTTATGATGCTGGGATGGACTGGTTTCAACAAAGGCAGCAGGCTCCCCATTTCGGGTGTAATAGACAGGCTCAAACATTCCCTTTGGTACTATTGTCTGAAACTGTTCAAATGGGCAACCCAAGCATACTCTCAGGGACTGAATGGTGACTAAAAGCTTAACTAAATCTTGAATTGAATTTACTTGCGGTGAAACATCCGCCCAATCTAAGTTGATCTTTTTTTCCATTCCCTCGTGGCGAATTGTCCAAACTTTGTTGGAGTCAATTATAATTTCAATTTGGGAATAGCCAATGGATTTCCCACCAAAATAAAACAAATGACTTGTATTTTTTTCCTCATTAAAACACTGCTTCCAGTTTGGAAATTGGGACAGATCGAAATTTTCAACAAATCTTGTCTCGAAGACAGTATCTTCTTCTGTGTCACTATTCATACCTTCTTCAGCTGGAGGGTTCCCTTTCCTTGTACATTCTTGTGCTAAATGTTTACGTAACTCAGTCACTGAATCCATGATAGTGTCACGCGAGGAGATTAAAGCTTGAAGAGTCGATGAATTGGTTGTGACGATCCTCTCGATCTCCTCTCGATAATACCTCCACCTCAATATGCCATTGATTTTTCCCAAGTCTTTCGTTAAGTCATTGTTGGCACGATACAGATAATTAGCGATCGCAGTGCTGCTAAAGTGCACATGAAAGACATTCTCAATTGCAGTTGAGATGTTGAGGTATTTTTCGTGATACCTGGCTCTAAAGCTGTTACCTGGAAAAGCGACGACTAAAAGGGAGTATAATAGCAATTCACTCTCACATAGTTCAATACCGGTACTAAATTCCAGATACGAAGAAAATGTTTGTACTCGTGTACCTTTTGGTGACTCTGCTTGGGAATGTCGCCCGGTCGAGTCGACTTCGGTCACGGCTTGTGACGTGTTTTCTCCATTAGATTCTGCTGTCACTGAATTATGGCTTGAAATGCTTTTTTGTCTGTGTTCTTCTGTGTTGTTTGAGCTGTTACGCTGAGAGGCAAATGCTGCAAATTTTTTTGCGGGAGGTTTCGTCGGCGTTGACAAGCATCTCTTTAAAATGGCTTCTCTAGCTTCTTCCATGATCGGCTTCCGTACCAATTTATATATTTCCCTTCTGTTACTCGCTACTATCGATGTTCTTCCAAAATAAACTAAAAACTTCCTACAACGCGAAGCAAAACCTCAACCATGGCAAAAGTATTAAAAGACAGCAGATGGCGTTTCATAGCTGCATGACGTGTATTTTATAAATGCGTGCAACTCGTGCAAGGTTAATTATGCTTAATTAAAATCAACATCACGCTTCTCTTTATTTTCACTAAACATCTCATACGTCTTTCTGTTTCTTCGGAACTTCAAAATTAGTTTCCCCTCTGTTTTTACTGTTTACTTTGTCTTGTTTTAGAGAGAAAAGTGGAGAAAAAACCTTACAACTAACCTCAACAAATTTTGTTTACATGCAGTTGCCGGATTTGCGACGCATTGCGCGAATCGCCATGGCGCGTTGCATCTGAGAAGCAAAGTTTGAAGCAGTACAACGCCACTATATCAAAATATATCAATCTAATTTTTTGTTATGTTGTATAAAATTTATCCCCCTTTAACATATGTAAAAACTGAGGTTAAGAAGTGTTAAGCTTTTGCAAACGAAACGGCGAAAGACGATTAGGTGATATTTAGTGGAAGGAGGAGGTATTCAACACTTTCAAATTAAACTCAAATTTTGGCATTATACGATCAACAAGTTTGACTTATAGGCAAACAGACACAAACATATGAAACTGTGTATTGATATTGTTATGAAACTAATTTATCTATTCTAACATTGTAGCCTGAAATTACAGAAAGAAAATAGGATTTCCGGTTTGCAAAAAGGAAAATTTCGCCGGCCTTCAAGCGCACCGGAAGCGCGGAAAGAGCGCTCGTGCCAGTCCTACTCCGCATCACACATTAAATGAAGAGCGGAGCGCTCGTTTCATCGCCCAACCTTTATCGGCCCTGCAACTGAGGCTAACCGGGCGGATTAACGGATTAACGGATTAGTGATCTACGCTGTTCCATTCACAGTGGATCCGAAATTAGTCAGATGATTTAGCGCTATTTCCAGTTGAAGTATTCCCATAGAGGCCGTAGAGTTTCCTCGTTGCTGTTATTTGCCGCAAAACATCTGAAAACACTAGAAGATTGTTCCTGGTACATTAAAATATCCATATACTAACCATTTGTCTCTAAAGATTGCTTGAAATCAGAAATAAGTAAAAGTAACAAATGAACTGCTATCTAACTACAAACTCGCTTGTAGACGCGACAGGCACTCGATCGTGTTACATAAAAAAATCCGAGCTATGGAACTGGATCAAACTGGCCGACATTCTTTAGATAATTTTCAATTTTGATGCGCTTCTTTCTTTGCCTGTTTTATATCTTCCATCGTCGCTATTCGAACTGCCGACCACTAAATTCAGCTCGGTATAATCGCATAATTTGTCAAACAGTAGAAAACACGTCATTTCTTGAGAGGCTGTCGTGCATATTGCACGCGTTGGCGAAAAGTTACCAAGGTTACAAATCCAATTTCGGATTTCACATTCCTTTCGACCGCGAAATCTGGCAAATCTAGGATCAAAAATCCGTTTTTGGATTCGCCGAAAGGAACACACCCTAAAATGCTACCAAGGAACCGTATTCTTAGTTTGGTATTGAAATAATTCCCGGGAAATACTTGCATGCAACAACAACAACGGAAACAACTTTATTTCAGTATTCCCACGCCGAGTTAGTACATGGTATTACCTACTATTCTATATAATTTTCAATGCGTTTCATTTATACGATATTCTAACGAAAAGAGCGAACTAAAAACACACAATTGAAATATCGGAGTTCATATTTTCTGTCTGGATACTTTTATTTGGCTCGTGGGAAAATTTTGTCCCATGTCAAGCGCACTTACGGTTGGCTGTTTGCCAAGTTGGATCTTGACCCTGTGACATGAAAACATAGAAACATTCAAAGATGTAAGTTTAGATAACAGAGCTTTGGAAATCGAGCTTGAAATGTGCCTCAAAGAAAACAAGGACAATTTAAGAACGATAATCTGCAAAATGTTGGTTGCTAAACGCAACAAACCTGATTGAAGTGAAAGTTAAATACTCACGTTTTCGCCACAACGCCAAACAGACCAGTTTCACGTCGCCGACGGGACCACGACGGCAAGGTGGTGAGCACGAGCATGCGCAATATCCAACAATGATGATGTCACGTCCGGTTGAAGTTGCCGTCGCCCCGAAAACGTCTCTATCTTAAGTTCCCTTGTATGAGAACCGCTCAAATTGGGCCTGAACTCAGGTTATATTTTGGCTGTAACGTTATTCATTAAATCCAGCTCTGATATATATTTTTCTTACCCTTGCGGCTAACAGAAATCTGATACAAAAGATATCTTTTAAAATCTATTGATTAAGTAGCGGCTTTCATTTTTCAGATTTAAAGCCTTACGACTAAATTTGTGTAGTCTTACAGCCAACACTTCATTCTATTACTCTGAAAGCCTCCTGTTGTTTTGGGGTTCCTTGAGTGGAACATGGGCTTCCTGTGCAAAAGCCAACCGTGTTTAATATTTATCGCTTTTGAAAAAAGAAACACTTCGTTTTTATCAGCGAAAACTAGGTAGCAGTTATTCTTTCTCCTTTCACTTTTCCATAAAAGTAATAAACACATTTTGTGCATTTTTGTTTAACCGTATAATTTCAACTAACGTGGGTGCCCTGTGTTAAAAGCTCAAAATGTTTAACGCTTAATTTTGACATGTTCCGCCGAACGGATTTTGTCGGATTTTTAGTATGTTGCTAGATAGGCCACCCTCACTTAAATGACGTTGAAAACAATTCTGTTGCAATTAGTTTGATGTTGAGCCTCGAAAATGCCTAGATTGACTAGACTAGACGAACACTCAGGGTCTTTAAATAACTGAGAAGGACGTGCTGCCTTTGTAATGACATCTGCAAATGATTAGACTTTCTAGTCAGTCTCGGATAAGGACGAAAAACCGTAGGTCCCGTCTCACAGCACTTTCACTGATTTGTTCTTGTGGGACATAAAAGAACCAACATCACTATTCGAAAAGAGTAGGGGTCGTAGACCCCGATGGTGTGGCCAACCTTTACGGGTTGTGGGATTGGGTAGGGATTGCACCTCGCATGGGATCTGAGTCCCGTTCGTGCACATTCCCTCTGGGCAGGCCTGTGTCCAGAAAAGCTGGTAAATAAATAAATAAATAAATAAATAAATAGATCTTCACTCACACCTGCACACAATTCGATATATTGCCTCAAATCTTAATTTTAGTAATAACCTTTGTTTCAAGACTCGGGTGACACCAATGACTATGAAAAGTATTCTCCCTAGTGGCCCTCTAAAAACAAAATTGATAATAATAAATTACAACAGTCATGATAAAAAGCCTATTTACAAATAGTAATTATAATAAGAGATCTTAAAAATTCTAGTATTCTCCCTCCCTAGTGGCCCTCTAAAAACAAAATTGACAACAATAAAATTACAACAATCATGATAAGAAGCCTATTTACAAATAGTGATTATAACTTGAAAGGTTCTTAAAAATTCTAGAGATTTAAAAAAATAAGAGATGTTAAAAAAGGAAGTGAATACATAGGTGGAAAAGGGAATCCAGTCTACAATGATATTAAAAGAAGACGGATTTTTAAAAATCAGAATAACTTTTTAACTTTTAAATTGTCCACCGTATAGTTTGAGGCGACGTTATTAGTCAGTGTTAATTGTCTTCATTAAGCTAAAGGAGGTGGTTGGTTCTAAGTTAAGAGCATTTAGTTCTTTAATAGTGGAATAAAAGAATGTTCTCCTCATTGCCTCAGTTCTGGGTTTCGGTAAGCGGTATAATGTTTTTGTTTTAGTAGAGTACTTGTATTCAAACCGAAGTGAGTCCAAGGTTGTAATTAAGTATTCCGGTGCTTTACCATCAATAACTCTCTTTAAAAGGCCGAGTTTATTGAGCTTGAATAGTTGATCAACCGGTAGCCAATCAAGCTTTTCAAAATTATCATACGATCGTGCATCCCGAGGACTATCCAAAATTAATCGAGCGCAGCGTTTTGAAGTTTAAACAGTTCGTCTAAGTTGGTTTGGCTACAGTTGCTCCAAACAGTACAGCAATAAGTAAAGAGCGGTTTGATACTTGCATTGTAGAGAAGCAATCGATATTTGGTTGGTATATATTTCCGAGCTCTTGCTAAAATTGCAATTCTTTGAAGTAGTTTTCGGTGCAGTGTGTCAATGTGTTCGTTCCAGGTGAGATGGTGAGATGATCAATATATACTCCTAAGACACGTTCTGACTCAACGTTAGTGAGTTGCATGCCGTCAACTGAAAGGTCAAGAGATTGTTTTGCTGAATTTGCAATTTTTTGTGTGGTCGAGATTGTACTGTACTTTGTCTTTGCCCAC